TCTTAAACAGTCTTCCCTTGAACTTTGAGAAAGTGCTCAGGATAAATAGGTACCAAGTCAGAATGGCTTTTGTTTCATTTAGATCCCAAAACCTAATTTAACACTTTGACTTTTACATATGGTCAAGGAAGTTGAAGTTTTGCCTAGAAAAGAATGGTTAAAAGTTGGTAAGAGAAGTCTCAGGTATTTATGATGTTCTAAATGCTGCTTTCATGTCTCTCTGATATATGGGTTTAATTTGCTTCTAATTCATTCCTTTTAGCCCTGATACCTGCCAAATACCTATATAATCTTGTTCTAGTAGTCACACTTCACATCTAAGCTTACTAAAAATATAAGGCATGGGGCACCTGGGTGGCTCAGTCGGTTAAGTGTCTGCCTTCAGCTCAGGTCATGATCTTAGGGTCCTGCGGAGTCTGCTTCTCCCTCTCTCCCTGCCCCTTCCCCCAACCCCACTCATGCTCTCTCTGTCAAATAAATAAATAAAATCTTTAAAAAATTGTAAGGCATAAATCTTCTTGAATAAAACCTATTTACCTCCACAGAGCTCTTATGTCATCAGTACAACTTGGTCATAACCTGAGAATGCTGTCATCAGAATGTCTCTTACATATAAATTCCCAACATGTGCTTCTTTAAAGCCTTTATCACAGTCTACATTTATTCCCACATATATTTGATCTTCTTTGTTTAATCATGAGCAAATTAACTCTTTTTAGTGGTGTCCCCTCAAGTACTAGAATAAGCTCCGTGAGCAGGAACTAGATATAAAAGTAGACAAAGATTTATCTCAAGGATATTCATCACAGAGTAATTTTAGTAACTATAAATATCTCAAGGTAGGGAAAAGGTGAAATAAATTATCGGTAGCTATTATAACTATATTAGTTTTTAAAAATTATTATCTTAATTCATATTAAATGTTGAAGAAAGTCATTTGTAATGAATTAATGAGTAAGAAAGGCAGGTTAAGAAATTGAAAGGTTATATACAGTCATAAATAAGAACAAGCTCTGTGGTTAAACCTTCAATTTGTCAATCTTAGCTCTGAAAGTTACTGTGTGCCTTAGTAAGTACTTTATCTGCTCTGCCTAGATTTCCTTATAAAATGAGAAAAACAATAGTATCTGGCACCTCAGCAAGTTGTCAGGATTAACTGAAAACAAACAAAATATTATCTATTTTTTATTGATGATGAAGAAACTATTTCATGTCCTATAATCCACTACTATTAAAGGAAATTCTCTTCAGTTCTTACTGAAGAGTGAAATTTGAGTTTCTTAGGCTCCTCTTCCTTATAATGCTAATATATCACAAAGCACAGCTTGAAAATATAGTCCTTCACTAACAACGTTACCACAGAGATTTTCAGAAAAAAAAGGAGGACAGCAGCTACAGAGTCACCACTCTGTCTCATAAAACTAGCTCAGAAAATCTGACCCACTTAGGTAACAAAGACTATGTTAATTTCATCATCAGGAATATAGAACAATTTTCATTTAAAGCATTTTTCTAAAAAGAATTGTAGGATGGGCTATCTTCTTATTATGAAAACTGTGAGCAAACAGGCTGGCAAAATAACCGGTAACAGCACTAAAACCAGTGTGACTTAAACCTACCAAGTCTTGTGCCCTCTTTTACTTTATTTCATCAATATGAGACACTTTCCGTGTTACGATTCCCCTGTGAATGAGCACAATTCAGGTGACATTTTCAGAGTAAACTATTTGGTCCATAGTAGAGGCTTAATAAAAGTGGCTTTATCATTGCCTTTTGCCACTGAATGTCCGGTTAATGTATTCTACTGGATATAATCCCTGAAAAATTGCTAAGAAATGCCTATATTAAACTTTATATTTATAATTTAGCAATTTCTTGAGTATTTTTGTTCATAAACATGAATACTGCATAGCATTACATTTTTTATTTTTTATATCAGAATATCTCTAATATTAATTTGGATGTAATGTGATTAACAATAACATAATACAGGAAATTATTTTTAGACAAACTCCTCCTAAACTCAACTTCCAAGTATAAGTATTTTTTTATTATTATTTTTTTATTTATTTGACAGAGAGAGACACAGCGAGAGAGGGAACACAAGCAAGGGGAGTGTGAGAGGGAGAAGCAGGTTTCCCGCTGAGCAGGGAGCCCGATGCAGGGCTCGATCCCAGGACCCTGGGATCATGACCTGAGCCGAAGGCAGATGCTTAATGACTGAGCCACCCAGGCGCCCCTCCAAGTATAAGTTATTATAACTAAGTTAGTGGTTCAAAACTTGTTTGGGTCATGTGTACCTTTGATAGTATCATAAAATTATAGAATTTCCCCCAAGAAAAATATGTATTAATAAAATAAATATGCAATAATTGGATATACAATTCTAAGGCAATTCATTTAAGGTGAAGGATTCCTGTTTTGTTTTTTTTTTTAGATTTTTTAAATTTATTTGACACAGAGAGAGAGAGAGAGAGCACAAGTAGGCAGAGCGGCAGGCAGAGGGAGAAGCAGGCTCCTCACTGAGCAGAGAGCCCCATGTGGGGCTTGATCCCAGGACCCTGGGATCATGACCTGAGCCAAAGGCAGACACTTAACTGACTGAGCCAGCCAGGTGCCCCGAATTCTTGTTTTAGATCATCTGGGCATATGGCCCATTTTCTCACTTACAAGTGCCTATTACAATTAACTTTGCTCCTTATCTATGAATGTGGACTTAGATTATCCACATAATAACATGTTTTTAACTTAAGCACTTATTGTCAGTCACTGTTGTAGTGCCCTATTAATATTAACTCTAATCCTCATAAAACCCTTTGAAATTCATACTATTATTGGCATTTTACAAACAAATTATGGAATAGAAAGATATTGAACATATTATCCAAACTCACAAATACTAAATGGCAAAACTAAGATTTTAAGTTAGATTAGGGATCAGCAACTTCTGTAAAGGACCAGATAGTAAAAATGCTAGGCTTTGTGGGCCTAAAGGCAAAATCAAGGATATTATGTAGTGCTTATTTAACGAGAGAGATAACAAATTTCCACAAACTTTTTAATTGACCAAATTCAAAACTTTATTTGTAGACACTGAAATTTGAAATTCATATAATTTTCACATGTCAAAATATGGCTCTCCTTTTGATATGTTTTTAATTATTGAAAAATGTTAAAAACCAGTCTTAGTTCACAGGCCAAAAAAAAAAAAAAAATAGGGCACAAGCTGGATTTGGCCTGCTGGGTCAAAGTCTGCTGACCCCTGCTCAAGACTCAGAGACCATTATATAGTACACTGAAATCAATCAAATTATCTACCTTGCCATTTTTCCACTCGTGTGTCTGAAGAATATCTAAAGTACCAAATGTATAATTCTACCTAAACATTGGTCTCTTCCTTAACAAATCATTGTGTAAAGTGAAAAAAGACTATTTCTGCATCACGAGAATGCTCAGGACAAAAAGCATACAAGGGGAGGTGTTGGCAAGTGGCTGTATGAAAATTAACTGTAGGAAGAGCATTTGATGAGGAACTGGGAAAGGAGATCCAACCTCATGGTACCATCATTAACTGGGAAGAGAAGGCCTAGAGACCAGGTCAATGTATAAGCCACTATTTGGCAGGGCATTTCAGATGAAGTTATTCTATATCCTGAAAAACAAAAATGAAATTTCATAAAACAAAGAGAAAGCTCAAAATGACTTCTAGCTTGGCTTTGAGATGTGAACTATAACAATGTTCTCTCATTGCTCTTCTTCTGGAATACAGCAAAAATTGGAAGGAAAATGGAAGGACAACATAGCAGGCCTTTCCTGGAGCCCAGACAGGCTAAACAAGAACACACTTCCTCATCACTAGCAAGCCCCCATGGTATGTATTAAACACACACTAATGGAAGTCTGAGAAAGACTGGAATACTGTTGACTCTTCCTTGTATCATAAGGAAAACTAAGGTTCACTGAAGCCTGGGACTGGAATCTGTTTCTATGTTCACAGCAATTTTCTGTCAACAGAGCTGTAAAAATGCTGTGGATCTACAATATGCAGTCTGACCCCACAGAGCTGCCAAGGGGAAGATTCAAAGAAGTAATCCTACTCTTGGTGCCTCAGTATCACGTCTTCCCAGGACCCTGCCTTGGGGGCAATTCCAGCTGTAAAATCGCCACAATAAACACAGGGCTATGCTTTTTTAATTGTAACCTTCATTCTAGGTCTCAAATGTTCAACTTCCCTTTGACAGCCATTTTTGTGCAACTAGCATTTCTGTGCAGTGTGGTTATAGGATGAAATGACAGAGACAGTGAAAGAAAACCCCGTACAAAAAATTCCAAGTGGAACTTACAATTGGGTCAAGAATAGGCTATACTTAATGTACTCTATTCCTTCACTACGTTAAGCACTAGGCTGGACAATACATACAGGGTGCACTGATGAAGGCATGAAGGCAACAAAGGCCATCCTTTAGAACAGGGGGCCCCTGTGGTTAACTAGGGGCTCGAAGTCTCTCACAAGCACAGAATGAATCACACGGGGATCTTGTCCACAGATTCCTCAGCACGAGAACTGCAAAAATGAAGCCCTACCTTACCTAAAAATAAAAAAGCTACACTAAGCCATTTCTCATTAGCCTCCGGTTGGTCACAATAGAGCTGTCATGGAATCACTCGATCACAGTACAACACAACTCACAGTCACAGCTGACCATGGTCATAAAAAAGGCTCCGCCCCCACACAGTCCCGGGAGCCTAATGTGCACCACTCAGGGCCTCCCCACCGTGCGCGCGCGCACATATACACACACTCTGACACACACATACACTCATCACATCCCACACCTACGCAGCCACACAATCACGCACACACACACACACACGCACACACTCACCTTCTCCACACAGGCCTGACGCTCCTGCTCCACCTGCTTATTACGCGCCTGGGAAACTCCGGACCTCCCGCGGTGAGCTCCTCCCGCACCCAGACCCCGGTCACTTCAACTCACCACACGGAAAACGGTGACCTCAAGCCTAGCGGGAAATGAACACGAGGCTGAGATTCACTAGCTCCCCCAGGGCCTGTGAGAAACGCAGACCACTCTGGAAGAGCGCGGACGTTGACACAAACAGTCCCGGGAGCCGGTAGCTCAGACAGCTGGGCTACTAATGCGCCGCCCCGTGGACTCCTGGGAGCTCCGGCCCACGCGGGAGTGCGCAGGCGCAGATGACTGATCCTTGGCCGGGGGTGAGGTTGGTAGGTCCTAGGGGCTCTGAGGAGGCGGGAACCCGGAGCTCGGACCGAGAGGGCAGACTAGGGAGCCGGCCGCGGAGGGGAGGCCAGGGAGGAAACAGGGAGTTCAAGCGGGCCTGGTAATTCTGAGGAGGGAACCGGAACTGAGCCCACGGTAACCAGACACTCGGATCTGTGCGAGCGGGGCCTCGGGCGTGGTCCGTGGGCGTGACCCTGAGGGTGACAATCGAGTTTGACCTGAAGCGAGCTCCGCGCGGGGAGGGTTTTGTCTGTTTTGACCCCGAGGAAGCTCCATCGCTGGGAGCGGGGCCTCAAACAGCGGGCGCTGTGTGTGTGTGTGTGTGTGTGTGTACCGAATTGAGGCGGCCTCCTGTGCCCAACCTGCTGCGTTTTGGGTGCCTGCTACTCTGAGAGATGTTGGGACTGAATGTGTGTGAAAAGTGGACAGAGTTGTGTTGCTGCCTCGGGTTTCCTCCTTATGTGTCTAATTTTAGAGTAGGTGGGAGTCCTGCTTGATACTATAGGTGACTATGGAGAAGCGAAAGTGATTTTGTGACTTTGCCTGGAATTATGCAGTGTGCATGTAGAATGACATATGGGTACTGTGAGATGGTGGTTTTCTGCAGTAAGTTTGGTTGAATGTAACTGTGCATGTGTTTGTAACCTACTGTTATTATTTGTGATGGTTTTGTGATTGAGAAACCGTGCATGACCACTGTTCAGTTGGGTATTTAAGATTTGATTATCTGAAGAGTGGTCATTAAGCCTGTCTCCAAAATTGTACCTCAATCGCAGTTTAGCAAATAGAGGTATAAGTATTGGAAAGGAAGAGGTAAGATTTCATTCCCCAGATGGTAAGATTCATTACAGGGAAACACTATGTGAACTAAAACCAATGTTTGAAATTAATAGTGTTCCGTGAATAGCAAGCAGTAAAAAACAATCTTTGCTCATAACTAGTACTTTCAACACTGATGTATGAGTGAAGTTTCCTGCTTCTGGATGAAATCAGTGGTAGGGTCAATAGCTTCTTCAGGCATTCCAAGATTAAAAAGTATTTGGTATACTTTTAATCACAAGGTCAGTCTCATTTTAATAGTTAAAATAGTTTGCTAATTAAAACATTCACTGTAGCAGTCAAAACTTCAGACTTCACTTAGCATTGTATCATCTTCTCTTCAGGAAGCCTATAGAGTGGAAGGATCAATTTCTTTTCTAGTTCCATACCTGTACTACTAAAAAGTGTTGTTCAATAGTTAATCCTTAAATTAGCTATTAGTAAATTAATAATAAGTTAATTTTCAATAATTAATTATGCTTATTAGTGTGATACAAGTGAATCAATAAAGATTAAGTAGAGGAACTTAGAGTTCAGAGATTCTCAAGCATATAGGGATATGTAATATATGATAGAGATCGCATTTCACATTAATTGAAAAAATATGGATTACATAATATGTAGTATTGCTAAACAAGAAAACATACAACAAAAAAACTTCACAAGGTAAAAACACTTTAATAGTCATATGAGCAACTAAGAAAAATTATTTGCAATTTAAAATAAAGGGTTTACTAAATAAAAAAGGAAGATAATATCAACTAGGAAATTAAAACATATGAGAAAAATAGACATATTATAAGAAGATGCCATCATAGAAAAGAAATAAAAGGAGCTTATTCTCTCATAATAAGAAATATGTAAGCTAGAACTACAATATATATCTGATAGGCAGAGATTAAAAATTTATTATCAATGGCATTCATCAGGGTGTGGGGAGGTATTCTGTGTTGATACTAACAGTGTAAATTGGTAGAAAGTCCATGAAGAACTATTTGGAAATACATGACAAACCTGTCTTCCATGGGAAATGGAAGGTAGAGCTGCAGAGGGAAAAGCACAATGTTCCCTCTCTCTCTCCAGCAATGACAGATTGCCCAGATCCATTCTAATTCATGAAGAGACTAGGTTTCTTGTGGTGAGGGAGCAGGAATTGCCCTTTTCCCCACTAACCTCCAGCTTGGATATGTGTGGGTACACAGAGTGGGCAAGTGCTGAAACAGTGAAAATTGATGCAGATTTAACTGAATTATTCTGGGAGATCTAAGTCAAATATGGTTTCACATGGCTCTTTGTATCCTCCCATCTCTGCCTTCTCAGGATTCTTCCCTTTTCCAAAAGAAAGGCTCAAAAGAGAAGGTTCATCTCTTGCAAATCTCAAAGCCATGCCTCAGGTGAGATGATGTTTCCTCTCTTTCTGAAATAAGTTGTTTTCAGGTGATATAAACATTTGCTTCCCTATCCTTAAATTTCCGGGATGTTGGCATTTGCTTCCATGAAACTGGTCTCCAGTAGGGCAAGCAAGTGGCCTAAGTGCAAAATATAAGGAGTGCTCATAGGGTTGTGCATCCCTAAATTGTGCATCCTACGTTCCTCACCTTCCCTACCTAGTTACAGACCTGTTCCCAGTTTTTCTTATTCCAACCAGATAAACATAAGCCTTTCCCATGTGTACCTTCTTGTTGTAGCCAATGTTTACATACTGACTTGGTATATTATTCATCATCTCCTTTCTTAGTCTTCTCACAAAAGTACTGCTGGAACAGAAATGTATTATTTTGATTAAAAAGGGAATATATCGGGGCGCCTGGGTGGCTCAGTCGTTAAGCGTCTGCCTTCGGCTCGGGTCATGATCCCAGGGTCCTGGGATCGAGCCCCACATCGGGCTCCCTG